GTTAGGCTCCACACTGCACTGAAGAGTCAAAGTGTCTCATATGTTCATCTGACAACAAAAAACAAAAAAATTTTGCTTCCCCAAGTGGGCAAACAGACACAAAAGGTTTGAGCACGGATACCAAATTTAGCAGTATGGCAGACCAGTAGCAGGAGAGACTGAGGCCTGTTATTAGAATCAAATGCCCAGTGGGCCGACACACCGATTTGCAACGATAAGACTCTTGGTGGCGCTGTCACTTGGTGTTCGCTCGCTCTACGGTAGAGTATCACTTCCTGTTCCTGCTCAAACACAGTGGTGTTTCTGAGTAGCTTATTTGCTTAGCAATTTAATTAACAACTTTTAAATACATTCTTTTTCATAGTATAATCTTCACGTGCTTCATCCGAAGCACACTTTCTGTGTACTCACTACCTAATTTATAGCCAAAGTATTCACTCACTTTCTCTGTACTGTCTCGCTAGCTTAGCTTAGCTCGTAGCCGACTCGTTAGCACCATGGCTACTTCACCTGTCCCTCCTGCACTTTCTTGCTCATTGTGTCAGATGTTTAGTTACTCCTCGCCCTCCTTTAGCAGTAATGATATCTGTAACAAATGTAGCATATTTGCAGCTCTTGAGGCCAGGATTACTGAATTGGAGACTCAGGAGGCTTCGCACCCTTCATTCACCCATAGCTAGCCAGGCCCCTGTAGCTGGTGCAGCCGAAGATAGCGTAGACCCCGCTAGCTGTTCCCCGGCAGACCCCAAGCAGCTGGGGAAAGAGGGCGGCTGGGTGACGGTGAGGAGGAAGCATAGTCCTAAACAGAAGCTCCAGGTACACCACCAACCCGTTCATGTGTCTAACCGTTTTCCCCCACTCGGCGACACACCCGCCGGGGGTCGAACTCTGGTAATTGGTGATTCTGTTCTCAGACATGTGAAGCTAGAGACACCAGCAACCATAGTCAATTGTCTTCCAGGGGCCAGAGCAGGCGACATTGAAGGAAATTTAAAACTCCTGGCTAAGGGTAAACATAAATTCAGTAAGATCATAATTCACATCGGCAGTAATGACACCCGGTTACGCCAATCGGAGGTCACTACAATCAATATTGAATTGGTGTGCAACTTTGCCAAAACAATGTCGGACTCTGTAGTTTTCTCTGGTCCCCTCCCCAATCAGACCAGGAGTGACATGTTTAGCCGCATGTTCTCCTTAAATTGCTGGCTGTCTGAGTGGTGTCCCAGAAATGATGTGGGCTTCATAGATAATTGGCAAACCTTTTGGAGGAAACCTGATCTTGTTAGGAGAGACGGCATCCATCCCACTTTGGATGGAGCAGCTCTCATTTCTAGAAATATGGACAAATTTATTAAACCCCCCAAAATATGACTATCCAGAGTTGGGACCAGGAAGCAGAGTTGCAGTCTTACACGCCTCTCTGCAGCTTCTCTCCTCCTGCTACCCCCCCCAAACCCATCTCCATAGAGACTGTGTCAGCTTCCAAAAAGACAAAAACAAACTAAAAACCAGCAACAAACAACTTAAACATAAACAATTACAAAGAAAGAACAATACAGTATCCACCTCTGAACCAAAGAGTAAAACAGTGAAATGTGGATTATTAAATATTAGGTCTCTCTCCTCAGAGTCCCTGTTAGTACATGACTTAATAATTGATCAACAAATTGATTTACTCTGCCTTACAGAAACCTGGTTGCAGCAGGATGATTATGTTAGTTTAAATGAATCAACACCCCCGAGTCATTCTAACTACCAGAAATCTCGAAGCACAGGCCGAGGGGGCGGTGTGGCAGCAATTTTTCACACTAGCCTATTAATTAATGAAAGACCAAGACAGACTTTCAATTCATTTGAAAGCCTGATGCTTAACATTGTCCACCCCAGCTGTAAAACCAGTCTTACTTGTTATCATCTATCGTCCACCTGGGCCTTACACAGAGTTTGTCTGATTTCTCAGACTTTATATCTAATTTAGTTCTGAGCTCAGATAAAACAATTATTGTGGGTGATTTTAACATCCATGTAGATGCTAAAAATTACAGCCTCAGCATGGCATTTAATCTGTTATTAGACTCAATTGGCTTCTCTCAAAATGTAAAAGAAGCCACCCACCACTTTAATCACACTCTAGATCTTGTTTTAACATATGGCATAGAAACTGAACATTTAACAGTGTTTCCTGAAAACCCTCTCCTGTCTGATCATTTCCTGATAACATTTACATTTACAATAATTGATTACACAGCGGTGGAGAGTAGACTTTATCAAAGTAGATGTCTTTCTGAAAGCGCTGTAACTAAGTTTAAGAATATAATCCACCCACTGTTATCATCTCCAATGCCCTGTACTAACATAGAGCAGAGCAGCTATCTGAACGCTACCCCCAACAGAGGTCGATTAACTGCAGGAATGTCTTAAAGACATAAAGACCTGGATGGCCGCTAACTTTCTGCTTCTTAATTCAGATAAAACTGAGGTTATTGTACTCGGCCCTGAAAAGCTTAGAAATATGGTATCTAACCAGATTCTTACTCTGGATGGCATTACCTTGGCCTCCAGTAACACTGTGAGGAACCTTGGAGTCATTTTTGACCAGGACATGTCCTTCAATGCACATATTAAACAAATATGCAAGACTGCTTTCTTCCATTTGCGCAACATCTCTAAAATTAGAAATATCCTGTCTCAGAGTGACGCTGAAAAACTAGTTCATGCATTTATTACTTCCAGGCTGAACGACTGTAATTCATTATTATCAGGATGTCCAAAAAACTCACTGAAAAGCCTTCAGCTACAGAACAATGGAGATTTCCGTTATATGGTAACGCCTGCAACTCACGTGACGCCCAGAATTGTACAATACTGATGCTCGAGAGCGCGCGTGTGATGCAAGTATGTGTAGAGTGTTGAGCGCGTGATCAGTGTTGAGAAAAACAAATCACGAAACTTGACCTTTCTTTACTCGTGGCTCACTTGCACTTCTAATATATTCGTTTGCACACTTACACACACAGCTGTGGTCTCCTGTTTTGCTACACTCTGGAGAGCCTCGCCTTTAACGGTCTCCTCTCACAGAGAGCAACAGAAAACTTCATTCAGAAAACTTCGAAAAACTCGAGATTGACTGAACTCAGTTCAAAGTTACCTTGACACTTACCTTTAGATGTGAGAGGTAGCGATGGTCTGCTTGAAGCTGACGCTCCGGTGCGTGTGTGAAAAAGATCAACACGCTGCTTCAGAAGCACTTTGTCGAGGCTTGATTCGTTTGGCCAGAGTCACGTGATTAGTGACGTCTGAAGCTTCATTTAGAACGTACTTTTTTACTGAACTTTATTGAAACACAATAAGTATACAACATACAAATACATGAAGTTTAAGAAAGAACAGAACATGAACATACAAAACCAGGGGTAAAAAAAATAATTATATGAGTACGCGCAAAAATCAAAATATATAAATATTGCTCCTTTTTGTTGGTTGAGTCTGATATTGATTGTATGTACAATTCCATATCTTTATAAAAAAGCAGAAATATGGTGTTTTATTAATAAACTTACATTTATGGATAAAACATTTAGCTAAACGTATTAAGAAATGTATTATAAAAAACATTTATCATTCTTCCTGGTGAACTTAAAGAAACAGAATAAAACATTTCCCCATCATTAAGAAAACTCCCTTAAAATATGGACAATAACAAAACTGCTAAATTCTTCCAGAATCTCTGTGTAGAGGAACAGTACCAAAAAAGATGTGCTACAGTTTCTGGATGATGCCCACAGAAAGTTCAATTAGTATTTATGTCTCTTTTAAATGTTACCATATAGTGACTGGCTGGGTAACATTTATGAAGAATTTTATATGAGATTTCCTTCACCTTGTTTACAATTAGATATTTATGGGATCATCCAGACGGTCTTTCAGGTGATATCTGGAACATGTCGGTTCCAGTAAGATATTATATATATGGGAGAGACACGATATCTTCTTGGAATAAACTACGTATTCTCTTATTGCTGTTACCAAGTTCCTGTGAAAAGCAGATTTTTCCCACTGCTGACTCAGCTGGATCAGGGAGAGTGACTGAGGTAGATATTGAACTGTCAGTGTTTTTATATAACATTAAGGGTATGGCACCAAGCACCATTGAGAATTCCCAAACACTTACGGGAAATTATATAGTGTAAGGGATTCATTGTAAGTAAGTCGTACTCCCTCTTTATTAACCAGCTGAGCCACCAATAGGATCCCATTTTGGACCCAAGTTTCCAGGAAAAGTGATTTATTTTGAAATAAAATATCTCTGTTGTTCCAGATGAGTTATATGTGTGGTGAGAAGTTGTGTTTATAAATGAGGGTCCACGCTAAGAGGACCTGCTTATGGTTTTTCCATATAAAATTAAAGAGCATGCGGTCGATGTCTTTACTAATTTTCTTATCCAGATGTAAGGAGAGAGCAGCATATGCCAGTCGGGATATCCCTTCAGCTTTAGTAATTAAAACTCTACCTTTCAGAGATAAATCCCTTTGCAGCCACTGGTTGAACTTTTTTTTGTGTTTCTTTTGTCAAGAAAAACATGTTATTTTACTGTCACTGTGTTATCATTTACATGCACTGTCATTATTTCATCATTACTTCATTAGTCTGTATTACTTATCATCAGCTTATCATCAGTTTATCATGTATCATTTATCAGTTATTTCAGAGCACGCAGAATAAAACACATTCTAGAAAGCACCAGCTTGGCTGCAGGTCCAGGCAGGCCCAGGTCAGATAAGGATAGTCAACTCTCTTTGGCCTGAACCCACAATTTCACAAAACTACACACTCTACACACTATTGGTTAGGTTCCCAGGAAACATGAGTGGAAACATCTGGTATTAATTCTGGGAAAGTCTTGTTGTTCTGAACATAGAGGAGGTCTGGGAATTGTCCTGACGTCATTAAAGGCTATAAAGCTTTCTGTAAAGAGCAGAAAGGAGAAGACGAAAGATCAAGGCTTCCCCGCACACTGTACGTGTACTGTGTGTGTGTAATAAAACACTTTTTGAACACCTCCGAGGACTCTGTCTGCGCTCCCTGCGGAGGGAGATGGAGCCTGATGTTTTGCAGTGTCTATTTTCACCATTTATAGGTGTTTTAATAAAATATTTTGTGTTGACCCACTATGGACTTTCAGTCGTAGGTCTCTTCCTCAAAATTCGAACCGCGACACTTTGTATAATCGGAGTGAAGTTTGATGAGCATCTTGACTTTTGGTCTTGGGATATTAACAGTCCTGGGTATGTGACTTCTTTTTTAACAGAAATGTTACAGATAGCATTTGCAGTGCAGCCTTTAATTGCTAGTAATTCACATTTTTTAGATTTAGACATAAACCAGATGCCTCAGAGAAATCACTAATAACACTAAGGGCTGGACGGATTTGATTTGCATTCTTCAAGAAGAGTGTGGTGTCATCAGCTAGCTGGCTGATGATGAGCTCCTTATCAGCTATGGTGATTCCTTGTATAACAGGTCAAATCTCGGGGTGGAGCCGTTAGTCATTTTAATTGAGCTATTGCCATTTGTGTACAAGGTTTTGAAGCTTTACAGAAAAATGCTAAATTTTTCCAAAGAGTGGAACATAAATTGATGTTCAATTGTATCAAAAGCCTTTTAAAAATCCAGGAAGAGAATGAAGCTATTGTCAGATACCAAATCAGAGTAATCAAGTAGATCTAAAACCAGTCTAATGTCATTAGAAATGTATCTATTTCTTATAAAGCCTGACTGTGTCTAATCGATAATTGTGTCCAAGAACTCTTTAATTCTGTTAGCAAGTACTAAAATCATAATCTCATAGTCATTATTGAGCAGACAGACGGGTCTCCAACTATCAATAAGAACTAAGTCTTTGTTTGGCTTTGGAATAAGTGTTATGAGACCCTGAGTAAGAGTAGGAGGGAGGGTGTTATTCTCTATACTTTCTATGAAAACCTGCAGTAAGAACGGAGCCAGGAGATTAGTAAATGATGTATAAAACTCTGCAGTTAAACCATCTGTGCCAGGAGATTTGTTGGCCTTAAGTGCAGAAATAGAATTACAAACTCCCTCCACAGTCAGAGGGCTGTCACAGTGACTTCTATCTTCCACAACAATAGTTTTTAGGTTTTTAATATTATTGAGAAACAGTGTTGAGACATCCTCATCTTAGTTTGAGTTGTACAGTTTAGTATAGAATTTGGCACAGAAATGTGAAATTTCTCTAGGATTGTCAGAGACAGTGCCATTAATATTTAGTTGGTTTTGGATCTGTATTTGTCAAGCCGGAAAAAGCAGAATTTTGTTCTCCCTCCTCCAGCCACCTCTTCCTGGATCTTACAAAAGCACCCTCAGCCTTGCATCGACAAACTGTTGCATATGATTTTAAAATTGTCAATTAATATTTGCATTTAAAATTATGAAATGTGATTCATTAAACATGTTTGTGGTGGTTACAGTAAAATATATAACCTTTTCTACTCGGATTTTATGTTTTTGTCTGATTTTAGATCAATTGTGTTAGTACAGTATGTCAAAATGAGAACATGACTGTAAATTCAGACATGTGAGGTTGTGCTGAAAAGAATGATGCCAAACAAGGCAAAGTAAATCGTTTGTAAAGGTGAAATATGGAGGTAAAATCAAAAGTAGTTAAAAATGACCAATTATCCCCTGGAGCCCAGAGGGTTAAACGTTTTTTTAAAGTAACGCTATAGTTACTTTTCAAGTAATTCATTACTTTCAGAATCTTGTAACTCAGTTACTAACTAAGTTACTTATTTGAAGAAGTATCTAGTAACTATAATTAATTACTTTTTCAAAATAACTTGCCAACACTGTTTATAAGGAAGTGAGTCATTCGCAGGATTTGTGGAGCGTTCTGATGGTGAGAGATAGCAAACCACAGATCGTTCTATTGAGAGATATGGAGCCAGAGAGGCAGAGGAGAGGTTCTGTCGTGTGGGAGTATTTTCAGTAGATTTTGGTCAGTTTTGGTTGGGTTTGCCAGCTTTGTGTTCTTGTTATTTGTTTTTTTGTGTTTATTTTATCTAAAAATGTAAAAACCTTAAATTGTCAAAAATCTGCTTTTCATAAGATAAATATCATGATATAACTTTAGAAAGACTTCCATTTGACTGTTTACATTTAATGTAATAAAAAAATATTTTTAAAGTAATCTCAAATGTTATTCTACAAATGTGCAGCAACTTAATGTGTTTATTCTTTTTAGCTTATAGTCTGTGGAACCCAGGACGACCAGATACCTGCATCTCTACCAGTTTCTGTGCACTCCAGCCTTCTTTTTACAGCACAGTGTTAACTTTATGACCTTTCACAGCACCTCTGGAATCTGGATGGCCGACACCTGACAATCAGGATGAACCGTGTGTTTGGCTGATGTTTGTTTTTCTTTAAGAGTGTTTGTAAAGCACAGCACAGACAGACATGCGAATCGATCAAACTTTTCTACAAAACGTTATACCAGTCCGGGTCAGGAAGGGCGATATAGCACGGACCCGTCAGATGACTACGCCGGATGGAAACATAACCGGAAGCGTCCCAGGGACTTTCCCTTTGACCTTCATCCTGAAACCGACCTTTGACACTTGGATGTTGGCTTAATTTTTACCCAAAGAGAAGTTTGACCCTAACAAAAAAACACGATACTGTGATACTTTGATGTTTTTTTCAAATAATTTGGAGCGAGATTTATGTGACTGTTCATCTAAAATCCAGCAGAGAGTGAAAATACAAGAGCTGCTGCAATCCTCTGCATTAATGATCTCTGTTTCTCTCTTTCTGTGTGTGCATGTGTGTGTGTGCATGTGTGTGTGTGCGTGCGTGCGTGCGTGCGTGCGTGCGTGTGTGTGTGTGTGTGTGCGTGCGTGCGTGCGTGTGTGTGTGTGTGTGTGTGCGTGTGTGCTCACAGAGGGGAGGTCACAACAGGAGTTCCCTGAGTTGACACGTATGAAGCATAAAGTCAGTTTGGAGCAGTTGGTAAACACAGAAGTACATCCAATCTTGACTAAATTTCTTGTTTATCTACTTCATGCACATTGCATGCACAAGAATCCAAATCTCTGTATCACAATGATTTCATTAAAGCCTTATTATTTTATGGGGGCAATATCACATATTACCGTAGATCATTAATAGGGAACAAAAAAGAAGGATCACATCGGCAATGTTGCTGGGAGACAGAAGTCTTGACACGTACTTATAACTTAAACCACAAAAAACTCAGTTACAGCTGGTAAGATTTGTGGTATAAACCAGACTATCACAGTCTGCATCTTTACAGGGTTGTTTTCTGCTTTTGTTCACTCCTAGTGTGATTAAAAAACAACAAACACAGAGCCCACTAACTATTAGCCGCGTTCCCCCCTAAACAGTCAGTTGACTGAGAGAAATGCAATCCATTATTGTGAACGCTGAAGGAGATGTGCTCCAAGGTCAAACTTATATTTCCTTAACTTACATCCTATGTTCTGTTTAATTCCGGCATCCCTTCATGGCTTGATGGAAAAAATTGGTTAAACCATTGCTCAACTTATGTCTGAATGATGGCAGATAATTCTGATGAAACTGACCCCGTAAGAACTTTGCAGCTGAGTCGAAGGCTCGTGGAAATAAGGTCAGGAAGTGTCCGGCGTGACTGCGCGTGCGGGCGTCTGACAGACACACTAGTGCAACTCAGAGTGTGAGCAGCAACTCCTGTATACTAAACATAAGAAAAGTAATTTGTAGTGCTTCTCTTTTTTTAAACCGAGATTCCAGGGATCATGCTTATATGGTTTTCTTTTATTCAAAAACAGGTTAGTTTAGCGATCGTGTAACTGTGTCCTTGACCTTTTTACCGGCTTGAGAAGTTGGTTCCCTGGTGCAGATATCTGGGATGGTTCAAACGCCGAGTCTCCAAATGCAAACAAAAGGTTATTTTACACGTTATTTCTTAAATGTGTATAAATGGGATGATGACGATAAAAGTAATAAACAATAAATGTAAATCTGTTTTTTTAACTTTGCAGACTCATTTACCCACTCCAGTGACAGCGATAAAAAAAAAGATCATGACTTTAAAGAGATTATGAACAAAATGCATTACATTTTGTTTTTTGCTACATTAACAACTTTTCCAACTCTGATTCTCTGCAGGACCAACACGGACACCAGTTTAGACTGAAATCCAGTTCCGATGGCACACGCAACATGTTCAAGCTTGCACGGAGGCATCTTTCTTTCAGCTTAACGAGTGAACCGTCAGCTCGTTCAAACACACGTTAAAGTCCGTTTGGCTCGACACCACCGAACAGAGGCAGCAATATAACATAGCTAACATTAACAGTGCAGTGAATCCTGCTTGTGCCGTGATATTCAGGACTGCAAACCGAGCAGCATCACTGACTTTCAGCTTGTTGTGTTTGTGGATATATGACTGACTTTAATTATCCACAAAATCATCAGATTCTCTGTAAGATTAAGGTCGACTATTGAACAGCGAATATTTTAAAGGCTTTAAAACCAAGTTAGTACAAACATCACTAATGTCACATAACTTTGCCGACATGTGGCCAACAGTAATGCTTTAATGTTCTTCATTATTAAACATTTGCACATAAATAAGTGACATAGTATTCAGTAAGGCGAGTTTATTTATATAGCACAATTCAACAACAAGGTCATTCAAAGTGCTTTACAGAGACATTAAAAAACAAAAATAAAAAGCATGATTTAAAATTGATTAAAAAGAATTTAAGCTTAAAAGTGTGGATTTGGTGCTTTATTCTATAAAGACACATCTCCTGGATGCACTGGTACGCATCTTCAGTGATGTATCCTAGGGTCATCAGGTGTTTCGGGTCTCTCTCTTTTGGCCACAGCTTGTATGATGTTGGAGACATCCTCATCAAACTTCTGCCACTCGCTCTGACTGCTGGCTGGGGGCCACTTAATCCGCTGTTGTGGAACTACACTGCTTGGATTGGAAGAGTCCTGTGCATGGAGGGACTGGGCTCTGTGGGGTGCCTCCTGGCCGGGCTCCTCCTGCGTCTCACCAGGTTCAGGACCTGTGCGTTGCACCTCACTCTCCCGCTCCAAACATTTCATTCTAGCCTGATGGACATTTAGGCCACGCTGGTTCTTGCACAGCTTGCCGCAGATACATGTCTTACTCGTAGTCCTTTCCATTGCATTAGTCGTTAACCTTAAGTCCGTCCGATTGGAGACCTCATCCTCCCCCCCTCTCGGGGTCTCCTGGGGGTATCTTTCTTTAGGGCTTTCCATAGCTTTTTGGGTGCTTTCTCGCGAAAACTGCAGACCGGGATGCTAGCCCACCCTGCCCCTGGAGCCGTCTTTCCGAGCTGTCATCTGTCTCTCCAGTCGTCACCAAACTTTCTTGGTTGTCACCTAGACTCTTCCTAGGCGTCACTGGCTCAGCCAGAGTTTAACTATAAAGACACATCTCCTGGATGCACTGGTACGCATCTTCAGTGATGTATCCTAGGGTCATCAGGTGTTTCGGGTCTCACAACATCATACACCCTCGCCCAGGCGACCCAGCCGGGGGTGATCAGGCCCCGACTTGCGTACCAGTAGCTACCCACGGATCAGCCCTCTTAATCCACAGCCACCTTGTGGCTTTCTCTGCCGCTTCACTCACAGCCTGGATGGCCCTCTTCTTGGCTGCCCCAGCCACGCCCAGCTGGCCTAGGACTTTGCAGAGTGATCGTCCTGCAAAGCCCCTACAACCCACTTCTATGGGCTCATAGAAAGTCTTCCAGCCCCTTCCCCTGCACTCTTGCACTAGTTCCTGGTACTTTCCTCGTTTCCTTTCATTAGCCTCCTCAATCCGCTCTTCCCAGGGCACTGTGAGTTCCAGCATGATCAGCTGTTTTGAGGCCTCAGAAATAATTATCAAGTCTGGCCGGAGTGATGTTTTTGCAATGTTCTGAGGGAACTTTAGTTGTTTACCCAGGTCAGCCTGTAGCTGCCAATCAGAGGCTGTGTTGAGAAGGCCAGTTGTCAAATGTGGGCGCACCTGGGGTTTCTCTCCAGCCTTAATAAAAGAGATTGCCTTCCTCGGAGCATGATGATGCTTGCTGGTGCTGATTGCTGAGGCAATCTTTTCAGCAACTACTCTGAGCACCTGGTCGTGCCGCCAACGATACCGACCATCGGCCAGGGCCCTTGGGCAGCCGTAAGCATAAACCTGCTCGGGAGCAGTACTGTACTGTACTGTACTTCCTCAGGAGGCTGAGGTCTTTTAACATCTGCAGGAAGCTCCTGAGGATGTTTTACCAGTCGGTGGTTGCTGGAGTACTTTTCTATGCTGTGGTGTGCTGGGGGAGCAGCACAGCAAGGACTCATCCAGGCTGGAGAAACTGATCAGGAAGGCTAGCTCTGTGGTCGGCATGAAGCTGGACACTCTGGTGACAGTGGCAGAGAAAAGGACATTAAAGAAACTGATGGAAATTATGAACAATGCCAGACATCCTCTGCACACGGCCATAAACAATCAGAAGAGTCTGTTCAGTGACAGGTTGCTTCTCCCAAAGACAAGAACTAACAGACTTAAAAACTCCTTTGTCCCACACGCCATCAGACTGTTTAACTCCTCTCTGGAGGGGAGAGGGAGGGGAAACAGGAGGACAAAGGAGGGGGGAACAACTAAGCTGTAGTGCCTCTTCACCTCACTGTGCAATACCTTTTGTGCAATACTTTTGTAAATAGTCAACGGTGCAATAGACTCAATACTTGAAATGTGCAATTCACTTGTATTTTTATTTTTATTCCTATTTATTCTATTTATCCCCTTCGTATATTTTATTTATATTGTCTCTGTATTTATATATATGTGTGTGTGTATAACTCTGTAACTTCTGTCGGTGCTGTGCTTTTTTGGAAATCGAATTTCCCAGAGGAACCCACCCGAGGGATTAATAAAGTTCTATCTTATCTTATCTTATCTCTTACTTTATGTAAACAGGATTAGATCGCGGCCATGCAGGTATGTCCGCTTCATTTATACGAAAGCAACAGCGATATTCCACCACTGTTTCACCATAAATAAATATTATCAATGTAACTAAAGATAATGCAGCACTTGATCCTTTTATTGATTTCACACAGATACATACAGGTCATTTCCTAAAAAAGGGAAATGTACTATTAACATTCTATTACGTGTATGTGATTATTACAGATGTAATTCATATTTCAGAGTAGTAATTGTAAATTACTTCGTGTAATCAAGATGAGAGACCACGGCTATAAAAGCGAAGGTGGATTTGGGAAGTCTGTCGCAGCCATGTCCTGTCCGTATACGCGACCAACCCATTGCGGAAGGTGCAAGATTGATAAGGAGAGTCCTCAGAATTCAGCGTATATTGCGGGACAGACAGGATCCTTCAGCTCAGCGTGACAGTGTGCTCATAGAGAGATATCGATATTCCCGTGAGGGTATTATTTACCTAACCAACTTGTTGACAAGGGGGTGCAGGACCACCACCTGTCTTTTTTTGCTCTGCCCTTTTCTTGGTTGCTGTTATGAACAAACTAACAGACTATTACAGGGTCTCTTTCCAAGAGACGAAAAGCAATATAAGAGCTAAATATTACCATTCTGTAGAATACTCCTGTATTTCACTTTTATTTGTTCCCATGTTCTAGTGGGTCCTGTTCTGGCTCTAATGTGTAAGGGGATATAATATAACATATTATAATACAATATAATGCCATATAATATTGGATAATATCGTGTCATATGATAGATCTACCCTACCGCCTACTGGTGTTGGCCGGAGGGGCCGATGGCGCGATATGGCAGCCTGGCTTCTGTCAGTCTGCCCCAGGGCAGCTGTGGCTACAACTGTAGCTGCTTCCACCAGTGTGTGAATGTGAGAGTGACTGAATAGTGGCATTGTAAAGCGCTTTGGGTGCCTTGAAAAGCGCTATATAAATCCAATCTATTATTATTATTATTATTAAATCACCTACGAGTTTAATTTGTCAGCAACTTTCTGCCAGCCCTCTCTCCTTGCTTTTGCAGCCTTTGCAGTGTTCCCTTGCGTTTTAATTAAACTCTGAAACTCCTGAAATCCCTCAATCAAGAGTTCTTGCTCTGCTGCCGAACAATACTGAGCGCGCTCCTTCGACATTTTCGCTGACCAATCAGCGGGTTGCCGATCAATGTTTCTACTATCGATGCGTAGCCCCTTTTACGACACCCAGTGATGTCACATTACTGCTGTACTAATCGTCAACGGCAGGTGTGTTCGGGGAACCGGATTAGCGAGCTCACGGTTAGCGCGATGGTTTGGTCTTGGATGTGTCATTTGATCTTGGATGTAGTGAGCGACGTACGAAGAACGGGCCCCCGGACAGAGAAAAAAGGACAAAACTGACTCAGTAAAACGACAGAAAATAAGATCCCATGTAAATCTGTATTATGTAGAAGTTCAGCCCAGCAACCAGTTCAGTTCAACACAAGTTTAAATTATTCTATCTGAACTCTGTGGAGCCTGATCTCAAGCTTTTTGAGTCTGACACTGAAACCAGAGGATCTTTCTGTCTCTTCAGATTCACTGTGATCCAGTTATGGGAGTGATTTCAGCCCTGAGTGATCACGCTGATGTTTGCACAGAGCAGACAATGAGGTGAATGTTTGGGCACATTGGTAACAGTGAAACAGTTTATTAGTAACGTGGGATCGTTTGTGTGTGGAGTATGAACTGAGATTCCTGAAGCTCTTGTCACACTGGTCACAGCTGTAGTTTCCTTCCATGTGTGTACGTTCATGATTGTTACGACCATTTGACTGTGAGAAGCTTTTGTCACAGTGTCTGCACTTGTATGGTTTCTCTCCTGTGTGGACTCGTTTGTGTCTTTTAAGCTCCCTTGCAGTGGTGAAGGATGACCCACACTGATCACAGAGGTGCTTTTTAACCCCACTGTGAATCAGTTCATGTTGTTTTAACTCAGTTGGTGTGGTGAAGCTTCTCCCACATTCTTTGCAGTATTGCAGTTTGTCTCCAGTGTGTCTACGTTGATGTCTTTTTAGGGTGGCTTGCTGACTGAAAGTTTTTCCACAAAGGTCACAACGAAAATCTTTCCCACCACCACAGTGATGACAGGGTTGAGAACTGGATCCATCTGTGTCGCTCTGCTTCTAAACAAAGACACAAAGACAGTGTAAGTCAGTCCTTCAACACTTTTATCCTGAACGTCGCCTGAAATAAAGAGCATCTCTGCAGACGTCCAATTACATTTGACTGTTTCAGTTAACACACTCAGTTTACTGGGCT